CTTATTCATAGTGGCTTTGTGACCTAGGTTAAAGATTTAAATTCCATGGAATTACATTGACGTCGAAATAACATCGTGACTAGCGCCGCTACCTCTTTGCAGCATGAATTAAGATGATTGTTATATGTAAACCTATGACATAAAATGTATGAAATTCTGCATTTAAAGTATAAATAAATATGCTTTACACATGTTTAGATTTTAAAATCACTATGACGATCTGTATTTTATTTTAAAGACGTGTTTAGCGAACTTTTGGAACAAACCTTGTATAAATGCTAAATTAGTTATACATTTTTATCTATATTCGTTGACCTTACATGACTTCGCAGTAAATAAATACAGTTTACTATCCTATGTTGTGTAACCTAAACATAATTGAAAAAATCTACAGAATGTATTGACCTGAAACAAATATTTTGTTTCTTTTAAAAATACATTCAAAGTATGTAGGTCTTCTTACCCCATATTGTGCAAACCAACATAATTATATAAGTATAATTGTAAACATAATTCGGTAAGTATAAGTTAATTGTATTTATTGAATATCAATTAAAGTAAGTTTGCTACTACAGCTAGGACAGGCTCACGTTAATATAAGAAATCGACTGTTTAAAGCCTTGAGTTTTTTTTCCTGCCGAAGGTCTAAAATTGATTTAACGTCATGTACAATTTATGAGGCAGAACTGAATATAAGAAGACTTTTCATTGTTCTTTTAAAATTAAAACTGAAATTTGAAATTTCATTGGCCATCCTGAAATTCCATGCAACGGATAATTCTTGCCATTCTAAAATACAATTAAAGGATTGTTCTAAAATCAATTGTAAATAATAGTACTTGCCATTATAGAATAAAATGTTAAGGATAGTTTTAAAATAAAAAGTACAGGATAGTTCTTTGTATATTTGAATTAAGACTGCTTTTCAAATCCGACATCATATTAACAATTAATAATATTGAAAGTACAAAAGAACTGAAAACTGGCAAAGATTCAAGATATATATTTACCAATAAAAGCATTTTATGATAATGCCGTGGTTAACATATTTGTATAGATGTAAAGCTGACACTTAAATACACCTTTCTATCTAAATTGACAATTGTATAAATAAGCTAGTAACACATCCTTCAAATTCAACAATCCTGTATCATAAACACTTTCTTAAGTAACTCAGAATATTGCGTTGCCCTATCCGAACCGAATTATCATTATTTTAATGGGCATAAGTATTTATTTTATCAATAGACTAAACATATTTTAAAATCCACCTGCTGTGACTAAATTTGATCATACTGTTCCGATAAACAACATGGTATTTCACAAATATTGACAATTGCTATTCAACTTATTATATTCAGATATTTCCCTGTTGACACTTCGAATGCCACTAGGTCATAATATAACCCCGGGTATATCCCGCAACGTAGAATGATGCAAAGGAAAAGTAGAATTGTTCAACAGTACCACAGAATTTGGAATAGTAAGTAACGTAGAACTGTGCAATAGCAACGTAGAACTGTGCAAAAGTAACGTATAATTATGTAATAGTTACGTAGAATTGTGCAGTAGAAACTTAGTATTGTTCAATAGTTAAATAGATTTGTGCTAATGTAACGTAGAATTGTACAATAGTAACGTAGATGTGTGCCAAAGTTTCATAGGATTGTACAATAGTAACAGATATGTGTGCCAAAGTAACGTAGAATTGTACAAAAGTAACGTAGAATTGAACAAAAGTAACGTAGAATTGTGCAGTAGTAACGTAGAAGTGTGCAAAAGCAACGTAGAATTATTGTGCAAAAGTAAATAGTGCAAATCAATGGCCGAAGCATTTGCCATTATATTTCAAAGTAAAACACGCTGAGAGAAATAAACTGGGGCAAACGACTTTACCGACATGACTTTTCAAATTTAATAAACATTTTCACTGAAAAGTATGTTTTATCTGTTGTTTTTTTTTCTCCAAGTCCTCCGTAAGAGATACAACATAAACTATAGTATTGAAGGAAATGTTTGTGTTTTGTCGATATATATAATGATGCATGTATTGCTATATTTTTTAATGATTTTTATATTCAGAATACTTGAGATATTTGCAAAACTACGCATGTCGTATAAAATATAAAAGTAAGCAGATAAAATGCGACAAAGCTTTCTTTACGCAGATTTTCTTCCTTTCAGTATAATATGACATCCCTGAATTTGCCCATTTTCTACTTTCTTAGCAAACCTTTCGTTCTTTTGGAATTTCGCATTAACAATAACAGTCATCCATTGTAAACTTAGACTACTTGTTCAATTTATTTTTAAAAAAATGCAATGCTTTATTCCACAGGCAAATGTCAAAGAAAAACTTTTTGCCAATTAATGCCCTTCTTTGTATATAAACACACCTCTAAGTTAAAACATTTGGTCACTGTCATCGGCAGGTTAAGTTTGACAAAAATATTTTTATCCCTCTTTTCATTTTTCTCAACTAATCAAATTATCTCGAACTTGGCAAAGTGAATCATGCTTTTCATAAACAGGTTTTGTTTATAATTATGAAACAACAGGCTTATGTTCATCGCGGGATAAGGAACCCCAAAGCATAAAGTGTCAATAATAAAGAAATATGTGATGATAAATAACTGTTACGGTAAGTAATATTATGAATATTACATAAAAGAAAGTTCCATGTTATATTGACGACAATTACTTCTCGGCTATACTCATGTTTAAAAGTGAAGCAAAATATGTGCAGTTTGGCCAATTTTCATTGTTAAGGTATTCTTACTGTAATGCTTTCCCGCCAAAAAATATGTAACATCGGCCAATGTCGTAACAAATCGGTCTTTTTCGGAACGCTATTTTACACAATTTTTCGGTATTTAATAAATCTTAACCATTTATAACCTGAATTTAATACATATCGATAAGGAATAAGTGATTGTAAATAATCAAATACCCAATATTTGAAGAAAAAAATGTTCCGGAAATAACCAATTTACTACGATATTGACTGTTGTTAGAATTTTTTGGCGGGAAAGCAATACAGTATGACTACCTTAATGTTCCAACAAATATCATAAAGTAAGAATTTTTATTGATAAAAGCGTTTTGATTTTTTAGAAATTGTTACGTTATATTGTTTTATTCAAATATGTAGAATTGTTAACTAATTATACTTGTTAAATTAGAAATGTGACAGAAAGACACTACTAAAAACATGGTACAAATATTTAACGCATTAACAATATCTTAAAACTTGTTATTATATGTTTTGCTAATTTCAATGGCATTGATTACCAAAGTTTCACTTTTTTATGTATTATCTGGCAATTTAATTCCATAATTTCACAATATGCTCAGTCTTGTTGATATCACAGATATTCTTATTTCTTTCAGGATTATTGAGATATGTCTACATTTTAACATGGACACCTGTATCATGAATCTCCTATATTTGTTGAAGAAAAACATCGTCATAATAGTAACAGGGCTCCAATTCCTTGTACTTTACAGACAGTATTATGACTTAGCCTTTCCTGTGATGTTTAATTCAAATAATTATTATGTTTCATTTTTATTCATCTCTGTTTGTGTTGTTTCTGTCTATTATTTACTTTTAGGACCTGTTTTGTCTTTGTTGTTACACCTAGGTATTGGATCCATTACTAACACAGTTAAGTCAACATTCGGTGTTATATATTTTTAAAAAAGTAAATTTATTAAAACACGCTTAATTTATAGTTTGACAGCTTCTTACGTCTCAATGTTGTTTTCTTTATTTACATTTATTTTCTTTATTACTAGAATCTCTTTCATTTTATCCTTAACAAATTGTTTACCAGCCTTCTTAAAGTCGATCGTTGTGAGGAGTATCCCACTGTGTTTTTATTTATATCTAATAATTCGCAATGAGAACGGTTAAACAAGAAACATATGTTTATAGGATAATGTTCACATACCGTTTTAGAATATTTTTAAAGGTATTCCGAAAGTTTTCAATTAAATTCAAATTAGTGTCAAATTATTTAATAAGTGTATGAATTTCAAGTAAATATCATCAGAATGATCATTTTATACAGCCATATCGAAATGTTAATATAATGAATTGTAACCAATATTATAAACCTAATTTTACACATGTTGCCAACAGAACCAGCACTTTAATCGTTTTGTTTTCCCATTATCTTGTTAGAATATTTCAATTTTATTAACTTCAATGAATTTGCGTCTTTTCATATTTTTGAGCCAAGATCTTGATGTTAATGTTTGCACTTTTTAGATCATAACAACAGCCTATCAAGAAAATATTCTAAACGACAATTTTGATCTTTAAGATAATATATCCATTTTATTGAAACGAAACGGGGAACTCCAAAATTACATTTCGTAGCAGGGTGGATTATCAGAAATCGGCATAAAAATTCATTTAACCATTACATATTCCAATAAGGATCTGTGTTTGGTGTGTTTTGCGACAAGTTAAAATGTCACAAAAAATATACGTTCTTCTAAAAATAACTAAAAAATAATGTTACCTGATTCAACAGTACACTAACTTTAATTTAATTGAAGTTTGTGCTCGGATTTAAGAAGGATTCGTTTAATTTTATTCTTGAGAAAAGACCTAAAATCCTTTTGTTCACTTTTCTCAAAGATTTTTCGAACATTATTGTATATATTATGTAAAGTATAGCTATTTCTAACATATCATTAATGTCTCAGAATCCACTGTCTATCCTAAAAATAAATATTTTTGTTTGCATAAAATTTACTAGCAGTACAGCAATAGTCAAGAACTATGGTATCTTTACAAATTAAAACTAGGATAAAAAAAACAAGGTAGATTGTTCTTATGTAATTTAATAAATAAATTTGCTAATAACAATAAAAAGAAACACTGCAAAACAATTATCAATGTAAAAACATGACAAAACACGTGTCACATACCGGTATCAAATTTCGAGCTTAATATCTTATAAATCCCTTTGTACAATTTTCGACGCTACTTATATTTGACTGAACTTATCCTCGCTTACTCTCTGAAGCATCAGACTGAAAAAAGCAGACGTTGCTAAGAGTACCAGAGCAAAGAAGATGATGAAGAGAATCACGTCAAGTTTCTCCAGAAACATTGCCCAGGTGTATATCTTGCCATCATCATTTGTGTTATCAACCTTACACTCTGCTGCGTCAAGCTCGTCATCGGTATGTCCTTTAGTTGGATCAACAGAAGTCGGTTTCATTGTGACGGGTTTTCGAAACTGAAAACATTTGATGCTGCATTCTTTGTCACCCATACTTGACATAAGTTTGGCTTGTATGATGGTGTACACGACGGAAAGAACGCTCATGAAGAGCATGACGATGATAAAGAGAAGAAAGTAGGAAATTTGAAGGGAATTGTCCGGTAGAGTGTCACTTACGATTGTAACGAAGATACCGTAAGAAAGGAATATGGTAATTGCGAATGAACCTTTCTCACCAGACCCAACAGGAACAAGAAACACGCAGATATTAAGAAAAGCCAACATCAGGAGAGGCATAATCAAAGTAAATGTTGCAAAGTTAGGTCGTCTCTGTAGTTGGAATTCTATGTCAATATGGTACGTGTTATACAGAAGGTACTTCCTCTTGCTGAGACTGGTTATTTTCCATGCTGAGTTCTCCGTGTATTCGTCCAGTGTGACGCTATAAGGATGGTCTAGCATAACGGTTGTTATAGTCTCATCAGATACGTAGTATGTAACCGTGCAGACTTGGTGATCGAACGGATATAACTTGATATTCACATTGCACACTACGCTATTAAAGATAAATACATGATGTACATAGGATAAATTATATTTAATCAAAATCATGGAGTGGTAATTATCATGTGTAATAATTAGTATGTATCGACTGTTATACAATACGTTTATTTCCTATCACATTTTTCACCATTTGTAATGACATTAGAATGCAGTATGCATGACTTTGCATTTTAAATGAAAACAATGATTTTTTGACACTGATCAATAAGAAATCAAGATGTAAGCATTTTGTTATTTACAAGCTATAAAAAACTTTCAAATAATCATATCAATTTCATTTTGTTTATCCTCATATACATATCTATTTAATTTTATTGAAAATGTTACATCAAATTCTTGTAATATAAGATGTATTTGACAAATCTAGAAATTAGTCTAATTTTATACCTGTATATACTTTCTGGTACCCATTGAACAGAACCGTCAGACCAGATTTTAGCAATGTCTGTTTTTGCATTTCCAACAACACCGTCACCGTCGAAGGCCTATATGAGAAAACATTCAGTGACAATCTAAAGAATTTGCTAGTATGGAGAATTGTATAGAAATAAACACATTTCTTGACTTTAAAAAAACAAGTCTTATCCGAGCCTGCCATATTGGATAAATGATTAAAAATGAGTACACATAACACGACAAAATTTATAAAATACCTTAAGTATGATTAAGCTAGGTGTCCATATTTCAGTAATAGGGACCTTTACATAATTCGTCCCCGCAAAGTCTTCGGGATTCCATGTGATCACTTCGTCTTTCCATTCAATCCTAAAGTAACCGAGGACAGAAAATTTCTGCTCGGATGTATCAAAATGCAGAACACTCTGCGGCACGAAGGTAGTGTTTACATTTACAACATGGGATTGGTCAATTCGTGGCCGGATTCTTGTGTCATAGCTATGAAAAGAAAATTATGTAGTTTGAAAGAAGTATTGAAATAAACTCAACATTTCTCTCTCTCTCTCTCTCTCTTTTTCTCTTTTTTCTCTTTTAATAAAATAATAATTTGATGACTTCGTTATCTATTTTATTGTAAAGATTAGTAAATTGCTAAATCAACAAAAACATAAAGATAAAAATCATTGAAAATACGTGTAGACATAAGATTTTTTTTGAAACATTTAATACATCATTGCTATGCAAATAAGGGGTTGTCATTTATCATGTTGATTTGTTAATATACCAAAATTACGCAAATTTTACGCACATGTTGAGTACCATTTATGATTCGCTTCAAATCTGGTTTGTTATTTCCGGAGCTCCTTTCCGCAGAAAAACTGTAGAAAATCAAGGTTGTTGTGTTTATTTTCTGGTCATTTTTTTTCTTTTTTATATATTTTGTTTCAGTTATAAAATATGATAAGCAAGATCAACAAGAAGGGGCGACTTTCAATGAACGCAACCCCCAAACGACCCAGTAATAAGAACCAGTGTCAAGGAGCCCTGGAGGACCCCAAACAAAAATAGGACAGGGCGCAAGGCTGAGCACGGACAGGATAATCACATAAATGATACTTTTAAATACTTAAAAAGAAATAATAGTAACCGACAAGGAAATCAAAGAAAACAACTATTTCATTGATTAATAGGCCCACAAAGTAAAATGGCCCTGGAGAAGGGGACTTAAGATTAGGGGGAAGGGAGGGGTGAATTAAAAAAATGAAACTAGGGGGAAAGGAAGATACTTACTGTAGACAAGAAAACAACAAGGAACACAAACAAAAGTGTCACCAAAACAGAATAAAACATCAAGACATACATCAGAGGAAAAACGAGGGTCACCCTCTTGGAACGGTCAGAAGCCTAAGGACCGAATTTCAACATATTATTTTCACAGTCTACTAGATTCTAGAGAATAAATTTCAATTCTTTATGACCGTTTTCTTGTTTGATTAAAAATTGTAATAATCGGAAAATGACAAAACTCATAAAAATCATGAAAGCGTAGATTTTTTGAAGGCACATTCATGAAGCAGCATTCGCATACTTGCAGCAATCAGATAAAAGGAATAAACTGTTGCTGTGTTACCTCTTTGACACTGAGAATTTCGTTTAGCTTTCAGTAGAAAATATAAGTATTGATTTTGATAAATTTGATTATAGAGGTGACATAATTTTAATAAATTGAAGAAACAGTTTTGTATAAAGAGACACGTGGAATAGCTGTGGGGTTTTGAAATTTACATCTTTCAAGAACGATTGTAGTACCTTAATACAGAATACTCCCTGATATAATAACAGCCAGCTAGGCCAAACTACAGCTTATATAACTTAATCTGTTGGATAAAAGCATATGAATTAACAATAAACACAACCACCTACCTTGATTTAACAAAGTTTTAAGCAGATCGTAGAACCGTTAATTTCAAACCTGATTTGACGTGAAGAATCAATGCTGGCAAATGTGTATGCGTTGAGTAGGTGTGTTAATGCAGAATCATTCTTACTCCGACAGAGTTGCGTTAAATAATGATTTCATCCCATCTAGATCTGATCCAACATGATCACTTTCTTTATCAATGGCTTGCGATGCTGCTGTGCCGAACGTAGTTTTTTTAACAGGTGGCCCCACAGTAATAAAAAATGTCTCGAACGTAGTAGGTGGTCCCACAGTAACAAAGACTTGGGGGCTGCTGATCGTCACGAGGTTATTAAATAAAATCACTTTATACACGAACGAGATTATGTAAAACATTTTCACCAATTCTACTATTCAAAGTTTTTTTTCTCAGAGCAAATTGCCAGACTATTACTGGACCGTAGAGATATACCGTATGTCCTTTATGAAGCCTGGACTGATAATATATGAGATATACGCAGGAGACTATATCAATATTTGTACTTACTAGATATTTTAATCAATCATTAAGTAAATATTGGTCAGCGATGTTTCATCGTAAAAACAGCACGGGACTCAAACTTTCGTAAAGTTATTAAAAAAAGAGTAACTTCGGACTGTCTTTCAATATTTATGAGATTATATATTTACTAAGATGCAATTATGCATTCGTATCAATATGCGCACGTATCAAACATGAAGGAAAACAAGCTTTCAAAACAGTTTTAATTCTGCATATGACTTCATTTCTTTTGTTTGTCATGCCTTTTTATACTCTGTGTTGCCTAATATCCAACCCAAAAGTAAACTTTGAGGCTTGTTGTTAAACAAGCGTTCTTGTAATAGAATAATCTTATTATATTTCTTTACGTATAACTTACCCGACAAATTAACTTTGCGAAGATTTGTTTATTATAACTTGAGAAGTAACCTAATTTTATTGACATAAAAGAAAACAAAATTTATGCAATTGCATCTAAATCTGTCCAACAGATTAATTGATTTTTTTCCAGATTGCATATTATGTGTAAAATGTTATTTATTGTCAAATAAATACCAAGCTACATTTTTCTGCAAACGCACTCGAACTAAAATAAATGCATGTTTTCAACAAAAAATCTCCAGACGTTATATTTAGAAAGTATATTATCTTATTTCTTCATCTCACTTATTGTAGGTTTGTCTTAGGTGTGTTAGTTTAAAAAAAAACGTGTTTAAGTTTTGAAAGCAACATATTCAATTTCTTTATAATATAACACGTATGTTTAGTCAAAGAGTCCCTATGGTATTACTATTTTATTCCTTGTTTTTATTTTGCGAGTCCAAAACATTCAGTTCAAATCACTATCAATAGCGTCGTTTAAATCTTCAGAAAATCATTATCAAATTTGTTCTAGGAGAACAAAGAAACAAAAAGTCATTATTCATTGTTGAATACAATACTGATTCTATTGGACTTGTACAAAATAACAATACTTATAGTACACTCGGCGTGTGCCTTGATCAATAAAGGTTTGACAGCTGTGTATTCGACCAATATAATTCAGTATTGTACTCAACATTGTGCAACACACTTTATTTACCACTGTATATGTAAAATTATAAGCTAAAAATTGGTTTATAATCCACGAAAAAGGTTTATGTCAATAATTACAAAGCTTAGCATCCTTTCAGAAATATCAGTGACCTTGAGAAAAGAAATGAATTCTTCTCCTATTCACTTTAATATGAAAGAAACATAAAGCGTCAGGACCATAATTTCCTCAAAACTTATTAAGGTATTACACCCTAGTGCATTACCTCCGCTTTGAAGAGTATTCAAATAGGCGCATTGAAAAATTGAAAATGATGGCCATGGGTTCAATCCCCAGAAGGGTCAACTTTTTTTTTCTTTCTTTTTTTCTTTTAACATTATTTATGTATCTCTCATGTCCCATTTGGAAAGAAAAAAGTGTTTGATTTTGATTTTTTAATTTATATAGGTATTTATTGGCTAAATTATGCTAAATCTAGTAATAAATATGGTACCTGATATTTCTAAAGTGTAAGATAATCAAAACTAGACGATAAAAGTATTTCATATTTTACAAGATCAACTAATATACTTTTTTAAAAAATTTAGGGAAACTTTGAAAACAGGCACTCATTTGGGTAAATTTTAAGATTTTTTTAAATTAGGCTCCCTAAGTAGAAAAATGGTCAGACACATGGTAAAAATGGGTTGGGTAGGGTAACATTTTTATACAGATTTCATAAATTTTATGTAGAAACCATAATTTTGCTTATTTGGATTGTAAGCTGAATGGTACTATTTGTTTCTTACCAAAAATTAATGGGAAAACATTTTTCATTTGAATGTTTTTTTTAGATCCTGATAGTGCCCATTAGGGTCCTAATACCTTAAATCATAAAGCCCCCACAAATATTCGAAAAACGCTTGATAATAATAGCTATTTCACAGTTTGGTGGCAATTCCCTAGGAATGTTATGAGCTGCACACAGAACAGTGTTGAAAATGACCGAAGAGCCTGAATGTTGTAAGCAATCATCTAACGTCAAATCCCCGGCATTATTCACCAGGGCACTTTATGATTAGAAAGGTTCGCTGCTAGACTAAGAAATGTTTAATGTAAAAACCAAGCAAAATAGAATCTTTTACACAAAATCCCGCAAATATGCATTTGAGTACTTGGTGGCAATAATTATGTGAAAAAAATGGAAAAGTAGAAATGTCACTCAAAAGAATATATGCCTCAATAAAGTCTTGACATATATATAATGTGAACAAAAAATGACTATAGCAATGTCAAATATAATAAAAATAATAATAACTGCAATACTATAAGTAAACGTATTTGGTGACTTTTATTTAAATTTGTTGAAATCCTATGGTTAAACTTGGAAACCTTACGTCCAAATTAAAAATATTGCAGGCTAAGTGTAATAGAAATTGCACAGTCTGAGTTGAATGCCATTCTACATTGAAAACTTTATTAATCACGTCTCTTTTGGAAAACTGATTCAAAATCTTTTAAAAAAACTTTCAATTTAATTTTTTTTATTAAACAAGAATTTTTCATGAGTATTGCTAACCCCAAACCCCCATAATCCACCTACCGGGTTTAGAAACCCCAAACCCAAACATTCTGGGACGGGCCAAAATTGCCCCCCTTTTTCCAAATTTTGCCCCAGTGAATGAATGACATGAATGAACTTAAATCTTTTGAGTTCTAAGTTTGTTTATATCACAGTAATTTGTTAAGTTTCCCTGTCTAGTAAGGAAATTATGTTTATACAACCTTGTCATATTATTACGATGTGGGATTTTAAAGTAAATCCTATAAGGAATGAAGAAGTTGGAGTGAAAAATACCAATTTCTCGAAAAAAAAATCTAAGTTCAAGGGAGACATAAATCTGGAAATAGTCTTGCTAGTGTATTTAACCTTTTCAAAAATGTTGAGTGATAATAAGAAACATATCTATGAAGTTTGAAGTAGATACATTAGGAAATAAAGAAGTTATTTAAAAAAGACAACATTTTTTTCATAAACATTTTAAGTTCATGGGAAGTAATACTAATAATTTTTGTGCTAGAGTTGTAAACCTTGTCACATATGATGTAGTTGATGACCATAAACTTATATTTAAAGTTTGAAGTAAACACCTTCAGAAATAAAGAACTTATAGTGAAAAAGCTGAAAAATTTAAATCAGAAATCTTGAAATTCAGGCTTTTAGTTGCCATAGCAACCAGAAAAGAAAAAGAAAAGAAAAAAATGTGCATAATCTCAAGACTACCAGCTACCCATATTTCAAGTTTCATAAAAATATTTTCAGTACTTTTTGAGTTATCACTGGATCTAGTTTATGTGTTAAATTTGCCATATTTTCAGACTATTTGTTGCCATAGCAACCCGAATTTTCAACATTGAAAGAAAACAAACACACGTGCATAATCTCCATACTGCCATCTATTTATATATATATCAAGTTTCATAAAAATATTTTCAGTACTTTTTGCGTTATCGCGGGATCCAGTTTTGTGGACGGACCGACTGACAGACAGACGGACGGACAGACGGACAGAGGGTAAACCTAAAGTCTTATAAGTCGTAATTATAATTTAAATACGGCGCATTGGATTACGTTTTGAGCCAATGGTCGCAACTATTGATATGATTTTATAATGGTATTGATAATGTGTGATGTCTGATATTCCGTGTGTATTTTTTTTTTATTTCTACACATACACCCAACAGTGGTGACTAATTCGAATGTTTTTGCACTTTAATATTTTTTCTCTGTTTTGATTTAAAATTTGTTTTTCGTTTCTTGATATATCTCTTTGCGTTTTCCGCTATGGCTGAAAAATAACTCTTTTTTCGTTGTTGTTGTTATGGTTGGGGTTTTCTAGTATTTCTCACTTGAATTCAGTATTTTAATTCACCTTAAGGATATGCCGCCTGTATTAATCATTTGTCTGTTGACATCTTATCTGTGATACACAGGCTTCTAAATTCTCATTTGTTTTGTTGCGCCCGTTGTTTTCTCATTTTGGCACGCACACGAAGAATTCTTTTACTTTCATCGAATGGCTATTATGTGTCATACTTATATGATGAGCACATTTGCGGGTATTTTTGAAATTAAGTTTCATATGAAATGTATTTTGCTTTTAAGACGATGCCTTTGGGTATATACGAAGCAAGTATACATTAAAGTGAAATATCTAGATAGATAAATAAAGATAAAAATGTTAAAATGTAATTATAACAGATGTATGACAAATAAAACACGGAAGTACATTTTCCCGTAAATGACCGCTCAACACAATTTAAAAGTTATATTGATACGATGAAAACTTACAAACTTACACAACAGCAGGTGTCAAGTGCTGTGTGGCAGCCGTAAAAGTTACCCGTACCTCACTTTCAAAAATATGTGTCTAGTCACATACACAATTCATGTAAGAACAATAGCTCCATAAAAAACAAGACTACCTTTTGTTGTATCTTAAAAACAAGCTTTGTTGTGTTTAAGAAAAAAGAGTATTTTCATTTGCTTAACTGAAATATAATATTTTCTGTTTGTATTTGTTTGTTTTCTATGGTTTCTTATGATTTGTTTTTAGTTATAATTAAGTATTAAACACATCACATACACAGTAAGATCTTTCTATGTTTTTAAACAAGTGTAAAATGTAACACAGACTACAGACAAACACTCAAACGCGATAAATATTTATTAAAATATTTCTCAAACATAGATATCTATAATGTAAACCTTAATTATTTACCTATGCTTTTTATAGTTAATAGAATGGACTAGAGAGTTGTATTTTTAGAATTAACCTGCTG